TCAATGAATTCAGAATTATTCCGCGTCATGACGTTGTACTGATTCTTGTGTTTTTCGTGATACAATGTTCGGACTTCCTCCATGTGGTAGGCCGTTGCGAAAGTCGATAAAGGTAATGGGGTATTTTTTTTGAGTTAGATTTTCGATATTCATCGCCGTTCTCGAGATATTTGAGAGAATATGAATATCGGGACTTGAAAAAATTTCATCAAAAATAATACTTTTCCAATTTTTTTCTCCCAGTAATGAGGCAATTCTGAGTAACAATGTATAGAAACTCTTTTGTTGGTCGTCTTGATTTCTTTCGAATTTCAGGCGAAAAACACACTTGTCACTCACTTTTTTTTTTCATTAAACTTAGAATTATTGCGCGTCAGGACGTCGTACTAATTTTTTTGTTTTTCGTGATACGGTGTTCGGACTTTCTCCATGTGGTAGGCCTTTGCGGAAGTCGACAGGGGTGTTGGGGTATCGGGACTTGAAAAGATTTCAACAAAAATAATACTACTCCAATTTTTTCAATGGCATGCTCCAACATATTATAACTGAACTGTCAGCTTCATTTGCGGACGATACTTCATTAGTGGTCACTAGTCGAAATCACGAGGAATTAGTTCTGTCCACTAAACAAATAATGGAATATTTCAATAATTGGTGTGCACAAAATTGCCTGATTTCAAACGTTTCCAAGACTAAATGTATATATTCCACTTTACAAACTAACTTGAATATCCAACAATTTGATTTTGATGGTACAAGTATTGAGTCCACTGAAAGTACTAAATTTTTAGGTATATATGTGGATCAAAACTTACGTTTCACCGATCATGTAGACAAGCTTAGTGAAAAACTGAATAAATCAAGATTTGCAATATCGAGCACTAGGTCCTCAATGCCTATTGAATCTCTGTTGACGGTATGTTATCGTCTTGTTTACTACTGAAGACTATCTTCTCAACAACTTTCGACAACACACTCAATATGGAAATTGATCGATAGGAAGCTATGTTCTCAGGGTCATCTTTTTTATGAACTGGAATGACAGTTGCCAATTTCAACATGGAGGGAAATCCACCGGAAGTTATCGAGAAATTGATTAGATATGCCAGATGTTCTGCTATGGTGCTAGAAACATAATTCAGAAGTTTTGATGAAATGTGATCGACACCAGTACTATTTCTATTTTTTGAGCCTTCAATGACTATAATGACTTCCTCTGCGGTAACCGGGTTGAAGGAAAATGTGTCAGCAACCATTTGAGAAACTGTACAAGATTGTGACATTAAATCCCCGAAGTGACTTTTTAAGCTGTCTTCTGTAATGTTAGCAAAGTAATCTCCAAAAATATTCGCTACATCAGTTGGATCTGTATATACTTCACCTTCCACTTCCAAATGTATATTTTTATGTTTCTCAATCCTACCAAGATCTTGATTTACTAAGTTCCACATCAGTTTTTCATTGAAATTGCGTTTCGCCTCTGTGAGCAATTCATTATAGTTATGTTTGGCATGTTTGTAATTTTCCGTGCAGTCATTATTTCCAACATTTTTCCACAGCCAAAATAAGTTTTTCAGCTCTCGACTTGCTCTCCTGAAGATGGTTATGACCCAGTTGGGTGTTTTCCGGGAATGCATACTATTGCTTCGTTTCAGTGGGCAGCAGTTATCCAGAAAAAATATGAATATATTAACAAAAGATTCGGAAGCAGAGTCAATATCATTCACGAGATAAATGTCGCTGAAGTCAGCGTCGCGTATTTGGGAGAAAAATTCATCTTAATTATTTTTGGATAGATTCCTGTATAGTCTATCTGATTCAGTGTTGCAGCTGTTTGACTCACAAAGATGGTACCGATAAATTGAAGTCATTACTAGGTGATCGCTAAAATTAGCCTCATAAACTTTTGCTCTAAGATTTGTAGGGTCAATATTATTCAAGATATAATCAACTTTGGTTGACGAAGTGACGTCATTTCTATTGGTGAACACTCTTGTAGGCGATGTAGAACTCACATTCAAATTATATCCAGATAGTAGGTCAAACAATGATTGTTTATGGGCATTGTCAACGAGATAGTTGACGTTGAGGTCACCACAGAGAAATGAATTATCATGTACACTTACATGTTCCAAGAGAGAATATAATTTCCTGAGAAATGATTGAAAACTGTTGTTATCCGGTGGTCGGTAGACACTTAGGATACAGACACTTTCACCATTTAATTTGAACTTCACTCCACTACATTCACAGATCATCTCTTCAGAAAACTGGGATAGATCGAGGATTTGCACCTTCCAGCTGTTTCTTACACATATTACACTACCTCCTTGGATATGGCTAGTGCGACAAAAATGAGATGACGCCGTATATCCGGGAGTTGACATGAATTCAATGTTGTCTTTACTGCACCAGTGTTCAACTACACTAACTATGTCGGGGTTTCCTTCCCAAAGAAGAACGTCGAATTTATTCATCTTATTTGTGAGGCTTTGGGCATTCAGGTGAAGAATCTTCATATGCATTTCCTGATTGTCATTGACTACCAGCGGTCCTGTTTTTAGGGCGCTAGTTCTTTCGTCTGTCTTCGTTGTGAAAAATAACGAACGTAGGCATTTTTGGGCCAAACATTTGGATCCTTCATGAGGTCCGATTGGTTTCTGGAAATGGATACTTTAAAAGAGGAGTACCTATCGGGATACCTGGGTTGCAAGGGCTCATACTTCAATCCAGAAAAGGTTGGCAGCAAAAAATTTTTCAATTCCTCTACAGTAGTATTTGGGTTCAGGCTATAAACGTGGAGGTCCAAGCTTTTTTCGATGCCTTCAACTGATGCTCGTCCAGAGGAGTTACCAACTGAAAGATTTCTCCTTTGTTTTTTCCTAGGTCTCTTATGTTCAACTTCAGTCCATTGGCTCTGCACGTTATCTGCTTCTGAGCTTTTTGATGAGTCGTTTGCAATATTAGTGTACTGTTGTGAGCGTTATTTTGAATCAGGAAACACTTCACAATGTCTATCTATAAGATGTATAACCGACTTATTATCAAGATTGATAAATTCGAAGTTATGGCGAACATTCCGGTTTACCGACTCTTGATTGTTGGAATCGAAGTTTTTAGTAGATATGAAAAAGTATAGTACTCCACTCGCATATAATGAGCTGTCATATATACTCCTTGAATGGGCATTTAAGATGCTAGAATGCGAAGTTACAAAGTAAACAAAGTCAAAGTCGAAGTTCCTTGTTCTCCCTGTTGTGTGCGTTATACCCGCTTCGATGTCGTCTTATATGATCGTTGCGAATATATATGCTACAGACTGAGACTATGTGAGATGATACAATACAGAGATACAGTGTGCAGACTGATGTTGTCGAAGTATCTTCACTTGCCTATTGTTCTCGTTATATGTCCTCTGAAGTCGTCCTATATGGTCAGTGCGATCGTATCTGCTATAACTGTAGGCATGTCAGATGCTAGAATGCAAAGGTGCAGTGTAAATATAGTCGAAGTCGAAGTTTCTTGTTCTGCCTGTTGTGTGCGTTATACCCGTTCCGATGTTGTCTTATATGATCGATGCGAACTGATATGCTAAAGAGGTATCTATGTGAGATGATAAAATACAGAGAAACAGTGTGCAGGCTGATGTCGAAGTATCCTCACTTGCCTATCAATCTCGTTATATGTCCTTCAAAGTCTTTCTATATGGTCAATGCGATCGTATGGCATGTTTGTAATTTTTCGTGCAGTCATTATTTCCAACATTTTTCCACAGCCAAAATAAGTTTTTCAGCTCTCGACTTGCTCTCCTGAAGATGGTTATGACCCAGTTGGGTGTTTTCCGGGAATGCATACTATTGCTTCGTTTCAGTGGGCAGCAGTTATCCAGAAAAAATATGAATATATTAACAAAAGATTCGGAAGCAGAGTCAATATCATTCACGAGATAAATGTCGCTGAAGTCAGCGTCGCGTATTTGGGAGAAAAATTCATCTTAATTATTTTTGGATAGATTCCTGTATAGTCTATTTGATTCAGTGTTGCAGCTGTTTGACTCACAAAGATGGTACCGATAAATTGAAGTCATTACTAGGTGATCGCTAAAATTAGCCTCATAAACTTTTGCTCTAAGATTTGTAGGGTCAATATTATTCAAGATATAATCAACTTTGGTTGACGAAGTGACGTCATTTCTATTGGTGAACACTCTTGTAGGCGATGTAGAACTCACATTCAAATTATATCCAGATAGTAGGTCAAACAATGATTGTTTATGGGCATTGTCAACGAGATAGTTGACGTTGAGGTCACCACAGAGAAATGAATTATCATGTACACTTACATGTTCCAAGAGAGAATATAATTTCCTGAGAAATGATTGAAAACTGTTGTTATCCGGTGGTCGGTAGACACTTAGGATACAGACACTTTCACCATTTAATTTGAACTTCACTCCACTACATTCACAGATCATCTCTTCAGAAAACTGGGATAGATCGAGGATTTGCACCTTCCAGCTGTTTCTTACACATATTACACTACCTCCTTGGATATGGCTAGTGCGACAAAAATGAGATGACGCCGTATATCCGGGAGTTGACATGAATTCAATGTTGTCTTTACTGCACCAGTGTTCAACTACACTAACTATGTCGGGGTTTCCTTCCCAAAGAAGAACGTCGAATTTATTCATCTTATTTGTGAGGCTTTGGGCATTCAGGTGATTAATCTTCATATGCATTTCCTGATTGTCATTGACTACCAGCGGTCCTGTTTTTAGGGCGCTAGTTCTTTCGTCTGTCTTCGTTGTGAAAAATAACGAACGTAGGCATTTTTGGGCCAAACATTTGGATCCTTCATGAGGTCCGATTGGTTTCTGGAAATGGATACTTTAAAAGAGGAGTACCTATCGGGATACCTGGGTTGCAAGGGCTCATACTTCAATCCAGAAAAGGTTGGCAGCAAAAAATTTTTCAATTCCTCTACAGTAGTATTTGGGTTCAGGCTATAAACGTGGAGGTCCAAGCTTTTTTCGATGCCTTCAACTGATGCTCGTCCAGAGGAGTTACCAACTGAAAGATTCCTCCTTTGTTTTTTCCTAGGTCTCTTATGTTCAACTTCAGTCCATTGGCTCTGCACGTTATCTGCTTCTGAGCTTTTTGATGAGTCGTTTGCAATATTAGTGTACTGTTGTGAGCGTTATTTTGAATCAGGAAACACTTCACAATGTCCATCTATAAGAAGTATAACCGACTTATTATCAAGATTGATAAATTCGAAGTTATGGCGAACATTCCGGTTTACCGACTCTTGATTGTTGGAATCGAAGTTTTTAGTAGATATGAAAAAGTATAGTACTCCACTCGCATATAATGAGCTGTCATATATACTCCTTGAATGGGCATTTAAGATGCTAGAATGCAAAGTTACAAAGTAAACAAAGTCAAAGTCGAAGTTCCTTGTTCTGCCTGTTGTGTGCGTTATACCCGCTTCGATGTCGTCTTATATGATCGTTGCGAATATATATGCTACAGACTGAGACTATGTGAGATGATACAATACAGAGATACAGTGTGCAGACTGATGTTGTCGAAGTATCTTCACTTGCCTATTGTTCTCGTTATATGTCCTCTGAAGTCGTCCTATATGGTCAGTGCGATCGTATCTGCTATAACTGTAGGCATGTCAGATGCTAGAATGCAAAGGTGCAGTGTAAATATAGTCGAAGTCGAAGTTTCTTGTTCTGCCTGTTGTGTGCGTTATACCAGTTCCGATGTCGTCTTATATGATCGATGCGAACTGATATGCTAAAGAGGTATCTTTGTGAGATGATAAAATACAGAGAAACAGTGTGCAGGCTGATGTAGAAGTATCCTCACTTGCCTATCAATCTCGTTATATGTCCTTCAAAGTCTTTCTATATGGTCAATGCGATCGTATCTGTTTCAACTGTAGGCATGTCAGATGCTAGAATTCAGAGCCACAATTTGAACATAGTCGAAGTTTCTTGTTCTCCCTGTTTTATGCGTTATTCCCGCTTTGATGTCTCAAATGATCATTGCGAACAGATATGCTCCAAAGGTATCCATGTGAGATGATAGAATACAGATATACAGTGTGCGGACTGATGTTGTCGAAGTATCTTTATTTGCCTATTGTTCTCGTTATATGTCCTCTTCAAAATCGTCTCATATGGTCAGTGCGATAGCATCTGCTATAACTGTAGGCATGTCAGAAGCTTGAATGCGAAGTTACAGTGTAAACATAGTCGAAGTCGAAGTTTCTTGTTTTGCCTGTTGTGTGCGTTATTCCCGTTTTGATGTCGTCTCATGAAATATGATCGTTGCGAACTACCATGCTACAAAGGTATTCATGTGAAATGTTACAATACAGAGATACAGTGTGCAGACTGATGTCGAAGTATCTTCACTTGTCTGGATGTCGTTCGCAAAAATAAAATCAATGAAATAGCCAAGGCTATAAAAAAGAAATATTTAGCTTTGGAATCAGGCAAATCAGAGGAGGATGAAACGTTGCAGAAATTCTTGAAACCTGTATCTGCACCACTAAAAGAAATAATAGCAGCAAACACTTCATTATACAACACAGCTATCAAAAATGAACCTTTGCTACCGAAAAATGAAGAGAAAGTTCAAAAGGAAGAGGGAGAAGAAGAAGAAGAAGCTTATGGACTACCGTTTCAGAAACTTGAACGTGTTGCTAGTACGAGTGGCGAAAGTTTTGGTGATAAAGTGATCGAAGGAGATGAAGGAGAAGATGAAGGTGATGTGGAGTGCTTTGATCCTGCAGCTATTGAGGCATATCTGGAACAATATCCTCCAATGAGCATTCCATTCATGAAAGAACATTGGACCAACAGCGATAAAATAGACAAGATATATGGTCCTATATATGATTCTAGCAATTCAAAATGGAGGCTTGGCTGCAATGCGATGCTTTCCCTGCTGTTCAATCCAAATGGCGCGGAATTCAAGAACGTTTACGTGTATTCAAAGTCGTTGTACCAACCGAAATATCAATTGCTGCAACAAGTGTTGGATTCAGTGAAAGGTATTGGGTATTTTCCCTTTAGAGAAAATGATGATGTCATCAGTCCATCAGAAGCGAAAAATCATTCGATATTCATTTTTGATGATGTATCATGCGACAAGCAGCAAAAAATTCGAGAATATTTTTCAATGTGTAGACACAAGGATATTGACGTAGCATACCTATGCCAGACTTTTTCTAAGATACCAAAGCAGCTGGTGCGAGACAACAGTAACCTGTTGGTGTTATTTCGACAGGATGAAATGAATTTGAAGCATGTGTTCGACGAGCATGTCTCACCAGACATGTCATTCGATCAATTCAAAGCATTGAGCTCAGAGTGTTGGAATTCCAGCCAATATGGTGCGATGGTGATTGCGAAAACTTTTGACATAAACGCTGGCAGATACAGAAATGGCTTCGATAAGTTTATAAGGTTGTGATCTTTGGGTCATTCATCAAGATGACGTCAACCAAGATGCATGATGATGTTGCTGATGCGCTGCGCAAGAAAAAAATCAACGAACTATCGAAATCTATCAGACGGAAATATTTAGCACTAAAATTGGGCAAGTCTGAGGATGATGAGGCGTTACAGAAAATATTCCAACCACTGACATCACCTTTGAAACAAATTGCCTCCGCGTCCAAGGTCATAGAAGAAAAACTCGATGGAACACTTTCAAACATCAAGCGAAGCAGAGCAAAGTCGTTGGCGTTAAAGAAGGAGAAGAAGAAGGAGAAGAAGGAGGAAGAGGGTGAAGAGGTGGAGAGGGAGCAATCGGATTCGAATCAAACTAATTTCATACCTATGATGGATGTGGCTGATAATGCTGGGCATACTGAAGATGATGAGGATGGTTATGACGATGCTGATGATGAACTTTTTGTAGATAGTGAAAATATCTCACCGGCTGCAATACATGATTACGTTGATCAGTATCCTGCGATGAATCAAAAATATCTGACTGAATACTGGACAAATGATGAAAATATCGATACGGTTTATGGACCCAAATATGATCCAGTAACATCGAAATGGTCCCTCAACGGAAAAGAAATGAATTTCCATCGAAGAACTGGAGATATACTTCTTGATGGCTTTCGGTTCCGTGGCACCCCGGGCCTCTATCAATTACTCTTCTATAATGATCCATCCTTTGTCAAAGATGATACGAACCCATACAGGCAACTACTCTTGCTCACCAAAGCTCATCTGAATTCTGCAGGACGTATGAAGTCCTCCTCTAGACTCAAATACGTAGGAATTATTCGTCCAATGTTCAGATCCAATTCCAGTGGTCGTGGTTTGAAGTTGACATACAACACAGCACCTATCGAATACATGTATTGGGATGATCCAAACGAATTGGTAGATAGATTGAAGTTGCTCATTGCATCACAGCAAGCAAGCAAGCCGGAAATACATCAAACGATAACGAGATTGTTGCCATCTTGAACGAATTAGAAGAGACAGGCATAATAAAACATGTGTGACGATTCGGTGACATTTCCGTGTTCCGTGATACTTCCGTGAAACTTCCTTGACACTTCCGTGACAGTTCCGTGACACTTCCTTGACAGTTCCGTAACACTTCCTTTACTTTTCCGTGAACTTCCTTGACACTTCCGTGACAGTTCCGTGACACTTCCTTGACACTTCCGTGACAGTTCCGTGACACTTCCATGGCATGTCTATGAGTGAAGGGGCTAATAATTGGCGAGGCAAAGTGCCGACCATTATCGATAACGTACAATACTTTAGTCATTAGCATAATGAGTCTCGACAAATTCGGACGTGGTTCGTTTCCACGCTTAGCTCAGATGGTGACAGTCAGATCTGGATTTTCACATACTCCAACCGGTGATATTGATGTTGGTCATTTGAAGATTTGTAACGTAAAACTGCCAACAGATGCCGCTGATGTTGCAAACAAACAATATGTGGATGAAGTTATATCGCAAATAAAGTTAAATTTCAAGATTGCTTTCGATAATTACGGTGAGAAAATCCGAAATTACCTTGCTGGCTTCAGCAACGAAATAATCGAAGAAAGGAAGAGAGTGGATGTACATGATCTTAAACTGACATCGTACAATACAAACTTTGTTCAGTTGTCTGGCATAGTGCACAAGATCAACATACATGTGGAGCAGCTTCGCAACAACTCTCTACCAAAACTCGAAAGCGACATCGACTTGAATGTGAAAAATATTCTAGAACTTGTCGATAAGATTTACAACACTGTGAAGAGTTTGCACGATTTGAAGGCTGAGCACCAACACAGCCGTGATAAAGAACGCCAGCTTGCTGATGTCATTGATCAAATGAAAAAAGATCTGGCCAAGATTGCCATCACTCCAAAATCTACGACAACACCACTGCCACCAAAAAGGAAGCCTCCTGTGTGAAACCCATCATATAAACTCCTAATCCAACGAAGTCAATATGTCACATTCTAAAGAAAAAATCCAACTCGTCAATGAATTACATAGACCTGCTAGAAAGAAATTTCCAAGGCGCCGCATTATCATCAAAGGTTTGGATGACTTATGGCAAATGGATCTAGCCGAAATGCGACCTAATGTCTCTGTTAATAAGGATCACAAGCTGATAATGGTCGTAATTGATTGTTTTTCCAAGTACCTATGGACTAGACCATTAAAATCAAAAACTGGTGCTGAAATCGCTCGTGCATTTGCTGATATTCTATCGCATTCCAACAACAGAATTCCCAAGAATTTGCAAACCGATCAAGGTACTGAGTTCTACAACGAAAAGTTTCAAAGTCTGATGAAAAAGTTCTCCATCAACCATTATCATACGTACACCATAATGAAGGCGGCTATTGCTGAACGTGTTATAGGAACATTAAAGGAAAAACTGTACAAATTCTTTAGTTTGAATGGCTCATACCGTTGGATAGATGTCCTGCCTGAAATCACAAAGAATTATAATGACACGAAACATACGACGATTAGATGCAAGCCCAGTGACGTCATCAAAGCCAACGAACAAGACATTCTCAAATCCGTCTACAATCACATAAAAATTGCTGGAATTAGAAAATTCAACGTTGGTGACATTGTGAGAATAAGCAAAGCCAAACATGTTTTCGAAAAGAATTATACGCCAA